GAGGAAAGAACATAAGAAACATTATTTTTCTGTTCTTTTTTTTCTTTTTCATTCACGAAAAAGAGTCTAAAAAAAGGTCACATGTTTATGATACTAGCTCTATAAAATGCACCAGCTTCCACTTTCTATCTCAGAACCCCCCACCACCACAAGAGTCATCTTCGTTACGAAAAAACAAACATCAACATGTCTACCGTTAAAACCTTATCTTCTTGCAATGCTATCACCATTCCGAGCTTCGATGAGCAACGATGGGTCATCAACATCCGTCGGAGTCTTGAGGAAGAGCTCGAGGACGATACTCAAGTGCCCGTATGCATCTTCAACGTCCCGAAAGCACTCATATCATGTGATCCCAATTCCTACATCCCACAACAGGTAGCCTTTGGCCCTTACCATTACTGGCGTCTCGAGCTCTGCGATATGGAGAGGTACAAGCTCATGGCAGCCAAAAGATATCAGCAACGACTGAAGAACGGCCTCAAGTTTGAAGATGTTGTCGAACAGTTGGAAAAGCTCGAGGCCTGTATTCGAGCTTGCTATCATAAATACTTGGATTTAAACTGTGAAACCCTGGTATTGATGATGGCCATTGACGCTTCTTTCATGCTCGAGTTTTTACAGGTGTATGCCCTTGAAGAAAGGATGACGCTGCATAGAGTTCCCTCCAGAGGGATGTCACATCTGGTGGATGGAAGGAAGTCAGCCCACAACGCAATTCTCAGGGATATAGTGATGCTTGAGAATCAAATTCCTCTGTTTGTCCTGCGAAAGATGCTTGAATTTGAAATCTCATCACTGGATTTCGCTGATGAAATGTTGAATTCGATGTTGAAGGGATTATGCAGGGAGTTCTGTCCTTTCAAAAGGATTGAGAGTTTTGCAGACAACCTCGACGTTTCCAACCGTCATCATATTCTTGACCTTCTTTATCACATTTTGGTTCCCAAGGTGGAAGGATCGTCTGAACCAATTGAGGATCCTAAAAACTCCACAGAGGAAAACGGAGAGATCACCATGGAGCAGCAATCAAGCTTATTAAAACAGATTCTGAAAGCGATATGGAAGCTGCTTTTGAAAATAAATGCATTTGCTCCTCTGAGTCTCATTGAGAAACTCGTATTTTCCAAGCCTATGAAAGTCATATTCAAATTACCCTGGACAATCCTCTCCAAAATCCCTGGAGTTTCAATCCTGATAAAGCCTTGTGTACCTTTTTTGTCCTCAGAAGAAGAAGACGAACAAAAAATCAATCCCCAAAACGGAAGTTCCGCCATACATAGACCTCCTCTAGTGGAAGAAATCGCCATTCCTTCCGTTACTCAGCTCTCAAAATCCTGTGTCCGTTTCTCCCCCACCAAGGGCAACATCTGCACCATCAGTTTTGACGTCAAGACATGGACTCTATACCTGCCGATCATCACTTTGGATGTTAACACAGAAGTCGTTTTGAGGAACTTGGTAGCTTATGAAGCAACAAACGCAAGTGGACCGCTGGTTCTTACGCGTTACACGGAGTTAATGAACGGAATCATTGACAGCGCGGAGGATGTAAAGTTGCTGAGGGAGAGGGGCATTATTTTGAACCGATTGAAGAATGATGCAGAGGCAGCAGAGATGTGGAACGGGATGAGCAGGTCCATCAGATTGACGAAGGTCCCGTATTTGGACAAGGTGATTGAAGATGTGAATAAGCATCATAACAGCCGGTGGAGTGTTAAGGTCTGCAAATTCTTTAAGAAGAAGGTGTACAGTTCTTGGCAGATCCTGACGTTTCTAGCCACAATTACCTTCATGCTTTTGCTCATGTTTCAATCATTCTGCTCGGTTTACAGCTGTTCGACCCTATTACGTAGGTTGTGACGCCCATGAATTTAGCTAGGAGATCTACCATGTAATAGGTGATCTGATTTTCTCATAGAGAGTATTTTAAATGCTTTCCTTATTCTATACCTAAGGGTATAGATTAAAATGTATTAATTGTATTTTTTTATATTAATTTTTATTAAAAATAACAAAATTGACTTTATTTTAATTACTAAAATCACATGCAAGTACGGAGTCAAGAAATTCAATTAGAGAGGGAAAAAATTACTCTTAAATATTTTAAGTTTTTAAGAGTATTTTTTATGATTAGAAATAAAAAATTATTGATATCTTTTGAACAAAAATTAGAAATAAATATATTTCTTATAATAAAAAACAAAATATCACAGTAATAAATCATATAATGATTTATTGAAAAATAAATTAAAAAAGAAAAGAAAAGAGTTTTTTTAACTTGTACTCTAAAAGATATAATTAATACA